TGGGAAGGAATGGGAATATACAGCCCGGGGCCCATATGGGTGCATCCATATCAAAGGTAGTGCCACGATAGTAGCTACGTTGGCGTAGATGTCTGTGGAACTGCAGCTGCAAAGTAATTGAGAGCAGACACAATAATCAGTAAGAGCCAGTGTTGAGATAAATGGTTTATATGATATTGTAATAGTATAATAGTATAAAGTCTAATCCTGTAATGGAATGAAATGTGCTTGTCCAGCTGTAAGTTGTGTATGAAATATAAGACCCCCTGTAGGAAGAAAAAAGTAGGAAGTGACCCTGTCCAGAGGGAAGGAACACAGATGATTAATGTTTTACTTAGTACTTGGCAAGAAGAGGCACAGTAGAGAGAGGGGGAATGAGTCATCCCTTAGCAAAGGGGGTGAGAGGAGTCCAGAATTTGGAAAAGACCCCCGAAAGCGCAGTATGGTGCTTAAGTGTTTCACAGGCTAGGTACGCAGAAGGAAGACGTGGAGAAGTCTTCTGCATCTGATTTTAGGACATGTAGCGTAAATGTAGAATTTCTTCCATTTCTGTCACTTGTGCGTTATTTGTCTTTAACTGTGTTGTCCATTTGGGGTTTTAGAAGTCCTGGGATGTGCTTTTACCTTCTCTGGTCTCCCCAGCTTGAGTTAAGGTTGGTTTCAAGCTAACTTGCAGCATCTAAGCGTTCAGTTCCTTCAAGGTCCTTAATGCTGGGTCACTGGGCTGCTCTGGCAGGATGCAGTGGCTTACCACATTCTTCTGGGTAAGGAGCAAGGAGGTGATAAGCTGCGTGGATTATTTTAGGACTCGGAAATACTGGGGTCTTTATGGAGACATTTCTAGTGACTGTTAGCTGGTAATCTCTTTGGCATGCTGCCATATGCTTGAACTCGGCATCTTTCAAGGATTGTAGAATGGCATGCATCATCTGGAATTTGCTGAACTATCCTCTGACAGAAAGGCACCAAAATGAAATCATCTTTCTAAAGAAGAAAAATGTGCTAATTTGGTTAGAAAAATACATCCTTAAATTTATATAATTAATATCAGACGATCTAAGGTAGAAATGGTCACAAAGCCAGTCACAAAGCCCAGTTAAACAGGGCCACAAAACATGCCCTGCTGTGGGGGGATCAATGGTGCGCAGAAGAGAGCGACAAGACATACAGTGGTCATCCCAGGCTGTCACAAGCAATTGATTGGATGTATGTCTTGGTTCTGTCCTTGCACACACCTTGCTTCAGAAGGAGGTAGGGTGTCACTGGAGGAGTATTTTCTCGCAGAAGGCGC